AAGCGCACCAAATGTTGGACCAATCCTATGACACATGCCCTTCCTCTTCAAAATAAAAAGTGACTTGTAGATGTTGACATTTGTTTATAAACTTTGCGAAAGTTTTGAACTAATAGTGTTTAGATAAGATATGCATCTAATACGATGAGTAACCACTACGAAGACAAGACAACAACATACAATGTATTAATTATTGTAACTGTCCTAACCTGTTTTGAAACTTTGTCATTGCTATTCCTTTCTCAATAAAATTAATATAAAAAAATTTGCAAAAGAAATATTCTTGGATGGCATTATAGGTATAACAGGAAAAAAAAAGCATTAAAAAAGAAATACAAAGAACTTAATTCCAGGTGTCCTACTATGTCATCATGTGACCTCCAGGTCCCCCCAACTCCTCTTTTTTTTGGGGGGGGATCAGGAATTGAACTCTGGACTTTGCACTTGCCAGGCAGGCCCTTATTCCGCTGAGCTAACTACCCACCCCCCTAACTCCTCTTTATACATGATACGTTCCAAGAGAAAGTATAACTTATAAAAAAGAAAGTATCTCTGAGTAGTCAAAAGACTTGAGAGAAATTATACAGATGTATGTTTTGAAATGTCTCTGGATGGGAATAAAATCAAAAAGCTTACATCTGAGGCAAAGGTTTTCTCAAGCACATTTATTTCCTATATCAGGTGGAGACTGAGAAGGACAATTCAATACACATTTGTTCAACAATTACTATGCTATACCTGAGGCAGTTGTTAAAAAGCTTTATGGTACATTATGAATAACACAGTCCTGTCTCTTTTTAGCACATCAGAGCCTTCACACTGTGTCTCAGTTACTTTTCTCTTGTTGCTGGCACAAAGTATCTGACACCCAAAATCAAGGAAGGAAAGGTTGATTTAGCTCACAGTTTGTGGAGGTTTCAGTCCATACAAAGCTGGCTCCGCGGCAGACTGGCACACAGCAGAGAATAGCAGTTCATAGCAGCAGAAAACAGCAAAATAGCAAGAGCAAATGGGAGGAGTAGCAGCAACAATGGCAACAGAGAGCAAGTCTCCCTCCTCCTTATATTGCCTTCAGGCCATCTGCCCCAGGCTGGGTGTTGCACTCACACCCATAATCCCAGCAGTACTCAGACCCATAATCCCAGCTTTGGATCATAAATCAATCACAAATTCCAGAAGCCACCTCATGCCCCATGACTGCATGAGGCTTTGGGGGGACAACTAGACACAAATCCTAACACACTGATACTAAAATAAGGTCAGTGATAGTTAATTTTATATATCAACTTGACTAGTCGATGGGCCTGCAGACATACATTCTGAGTAGAAGTGTGAAGAATGTTCTGGATGGGACTGACATATGAATCTGAGGTGCTTGCACAATCAATTGAAAAATCTGAGTCAAACAAAAAGGCTATGAAAGGGGTTGGGGAGATAGCTCAGTAGAATAAGCACTTCTCCGGCAAGCATAAGGGCCTGAGTTCAACCTCCAGTTCCACAAAAAAAAAAAAAAGGCTATGAAAGAAGGAATTACCTGTTCCTGACCACTTGATTTGGGACATCAGTTTTTTCCAGCTTCCTGACTAGAAATATGGAGTTTTGGAGAGTCTAGAGCCTTTCAGTTTTTAGACTGAAATTTACACCATCAATTTTCCTGATTCTCAGGTGTCTCCACCAGGACTGAGACTATACCTTGGCTCTCTGGAGTCCCCAGTTTGTGGACAGCAGATCTTCATATTTTTCAGTCTCCATAACTACTTTTTTTTTTTTTTTTTTTTTTTTTTTTTT